TCCCCACCCCCAATCGACTACTTGTTGTCCACACTACCTGCGTGAAGTGACCTATTTGCAAGGAAAACATTTTCATCGGCATGTATATTTTTTGTGCGGAAAATAGGGCTGCAAAGCACTGACCAGTGTTGCCTGACCAGCCCCCAGAGTTGAAATTGTAATTCTGGATTTCGTTGTACCAACATTCAACAACATCTTTGGGCTCGATATGAGCTCCTCCGGATGCCCCATACATGAATATATTTTCCCCGTATTGTTTTCCTTCATCTCGACCCGCGCCTTGTCTGTGCTTCAGTTGATTCCATTGCGCCAGTTGCTCTGCCCATGCCTGGCTGTATTTGCACATCTAAATAGCAATTTTACAATATGAATATATTTGCTTTCATTTCATTTATTTTGGGGAAGTGAGGTCGATGTCTGATCCTTCTGGTGAAATATCGGTCTGAACGTACTTCTTATACATATTCAAAGTATATGTTATCATATGTAAATTCCTGGCTTCTCATGTTTAAAGTTTTTTTTTTTGTTTTTATGTTTTTATATCGGATCATTTAATACCTATTCACATTTGGGAAGGAGCTTGATGAATCGCAGTTCAGATGAATTTCATGTCATTTTCTAATCCAAATTTGCATGACATGAAACGTGACATGTTGTTTGCAAAGTTCAATATTCCGGTATATTCAGAATTTGCAAGGGAATGATTGCATCTCATAATGCAATACAGTATCATCTCTCTTAGAAATAGATACATGAAATCCTTCCATTCTAGTTGGATATATGGTTGAAAAAAGACATTCGCCGCAATAAAAAAGTTAACTATAAGGGGTGCTGCATTTGTTCCATTTCTTGAACTATTATGTATCAGCATCTGGCAGGAAAGTTGAGCATCATTCGTATATTTAGTATATGAACTGGAGGAAGCTGAACCAGGTTACAAGCAATGGTTCTGAGGGTTAACTGAAATATTAAGGGAGAAAATATGCGTAATTTTTCCACATGGAATTGTTTATTTCAATATCTTTTTTCAAAATGAAACGTATTTGATTAGTTCCACATAATTCTATTCGCAATATTCCTTATAATATTGATTTGTATTCATTTATTTTTAAGTTATTTATAGTTTGAAAACCCTATAGGGTTGGGGGCTCACCTCCTTGTCAAGGGAAAGCGGGGAAGAACCATGCAGCTCCCGGTACCTGTTGTGGAGCTGTAGAACCTCTTCGGCGAAATTTTTTAAGTTATTTATAGTTTGAAAACCCTATAGGGTTGGGGGCTCACCTCCTTGTCAAGGGAAAGCGGGGAAGAACCATGCATCTCCCGGTACTTGTTGTGGAGCTGTAGAACCTCTTCGGCGAAAGCTACTTCGGACGAGGAAGCCATGTCGACGAGGGATAATTGTTGGTTCTCTTTTGCCAAGACGGGGCAGCAAACGATTTTTTATTCTATATGAAAAACCAATGTAACGAGAAATAATAGTATTAGACTTATCTTCCCAGTCCATTTCAGAAAATCCAATATTTATTTTCACCTAAAAAAGGGTATTCGCATGTTATTTCAGGATGCTACATACAAATCGTTGACGGCGCTTAATGGGGAAGAGGCACATTTTCCTTGTTCAACTCGGAAAAAATTGCAGATTACAATGCGAAAGTCATAAAATTACCAAACGCCAAAAGCTTGTTTCCTTATTATAAGTCATGCCACTTTCAATTAAGAACTACATAAGGACATTACAATGTCGAGTAACCCTCCGCATCCTGCTTTAAGAAAATGTAAGCAAGGCTTCGTCTTATCCGTGATATGTTGGGATGTACATGATGGAATAACCGGAAAGTGTGTTCGAATTAGAAAAAAACTTCATGCTGCATGTAATTATGAGCGGGAACTCAAATGTATGACATTAATTCTGTAATTATTTGTTATTATTTTTCTTCGCATGCCACTAAAATTAAAATATGATTGCATTAGATAATGATTCGAGGAAATATGGAATATGCTAGCAACCATATCGATACATACGACCAATACTTGCTAGCGACCACATGAAAACTACCTCCTTATATTTCTGGTGGAAGTGAAACATCGGGCGTCAACACTAATTTTTTACTTGACTTCCAAACTCGCGCTAAAGAGTTATTATAATCAGTTGTGTTACGATCAAGAGAAAAAACTGTCGAACGGAAATGAAAGACCCATTTCATCCCTTATGTCATTAATAGATGTTGCGGGTGCAAATTGTTTAAAATTAATTACTGTTCTTCGCTCCCTTGAGGCCGGCCACCCTCAAACAACTGGCCTCAAACTATTATCCTCGAAAGAATGGAGATTGACTGTTTCTCGCTTCTTTCACGTGGAGGATGTTGACAGTGACATAGGACAAATAGGTGGTCTCCATAAAATTACAATGGTTGGTGTGGAAGTCTCCATTAAGATGGTTTCGGATCCCTCATTCTTTTAAATAATGCTACTACATTTAGTGGCGCCATCCCGCCTCATGGCCACTCAGCGTCCTAAGTTTCATGACGGCAAGAGAAAGAAGAATCTCTACTTAAACAAAAATGAAATTCTCCAAGGGGAAAAGAGGAAGGTGAAGGGCTCCAAACTTCGTTACAAATGCTGTTTAACTTCAGTTTACTGGCCCAGCCTTTTATTTCTATAATAGCTTGTTCAACTCCGTTGGAGCCAAAGTATCTAAATTCCTGGTGGTAGTCTGACTTGGGTGAATCTGGTTGGAGTCAGGTTCTTTCCCTTCCTAGTTGAAACCGGGAGGAACCTTAGAAATGGCAAGAACGACATTGAAGAGTTGGAGTGCGGACGGTAGGAGCCCGAGCAACTCCTTCCAATTTTGCCGTTTCCCGTGATTGCCACCGACTCACAAGACCACTCGCGAATTGTGCTGCATCGTGGGTGAGGTAATTCTGTTTGTTTCTTTTTCTCTTTTCCTAAGCAATTCTCCTTCACCCTTTTCGAACATGAAATTCCATTTCCGCTATGTTGAGAGCTTGGCTTCATCACTTTCGATTGCTTGCGGCATTACTTCCCAGCCCATTTTGTACTGCATGTAGAGTAAAGGAGTCATTGGAACTCCAAAACAGTTTCGTATTCTAAATTCTTAAAATATAACTCCATGAGTCTTTATTCTTGTAGATCTTGGAAAGTAGGCAGTTTATAATGTTCTTAGATCCAGAAAAGCATAAATGTGACACTCACCCATCTACCCACCATATCAACATCACAGGACAAGGAATATGTCAAATTTCAGACATTGTTCGGATTAATTATATTACGGAAAAAGTTTACCTGCCTCACCTGAACCAAACACTCGTACTCTATATCTCACCGAGCCGACGTTACGGATGGTATGGACTTGGTTGATATATAATTCAGAATTCGTCTCTAAGTGGGGATTTCCACGGTCAGACAGGATCGTCTTTACGAAGAAAAATTGATTTAAAAAATCGTTTTCACTGCAACTGATGAATATATTTAGGCGACATCTAGATTTACCATTACTGCCACATATATGGGAAAAGCCCTACTTTTGAATATCATTTCCTATGTTTAAAAATATTCTGCCTCACCAATTTATGCAAAGTCAAGTGTGAACAAACATACCCAGTTCAGTGCAATAGGGATTCTTCTATTGCCATACCCAGATCTTCAGGAAAACTAATTGTGGAAGTGGGTCAAAAGGAGACTACATGGCCCTAATGATCATGAAATGCCTAGAACAGCGAAAAAGTAATATCGGCATTGACATCAGCGTACTCCGCTGAAATGAGTGATTGAATTGCGAAACCCAATCGAATGCATATTCACAAACCGTTTGGAAGTACCGTATGGAAAATTCTTTTCAATTCCAGCTTTTTTCTATCCATGGGAAAACCTGATCTTTTATGGAGTGCAAATACTGTAGAAATGAAGGAAACACTTCCTCGAATCCTTGAACGCGAGCCGTAGTAAACGCATGCAATAGGACTTTTAAAAGTTCCGTTTAAGTATATCATGAGTTAATTCTTAATATCCCGCTTCATTCTTTCACCAAAGGAAAATGGACCTTTACCATGGATATTTCAAGTGGACAAATGAATGGACAATGCCAACTGTCTACATCATTTATCGCTCTTGATCTGAAACAAGATCTAATGCCTCGGAAATCTCACTAGGAAATTGGATCGAGTCAGTTCTGAAAAAATATGTATATTCCATTTGATCTGGGAATTATGAGAAGGAATGGGATTAAAAGCTTCACGATCATCGCCCAATCGCAACATTGATGTATATTTCTAATATATCCATACCCCTTAAAGGGAACCTCTCATTTGCTTTGTCGATAATATATGTCACACCGAACGTTACGTGAACTACGCAAGTTCGGACTGCGATGTAAGTCGAAAACACCTTGATATATACCACTGTATCAAATGTAGTCATTTTTAATTGTGTGCGTTTGAAAGGTTCACCTGCACCCAGGTATCCAGGAAGGCGAGCAGTAATTGCTCGTGCATCACAATGCCAATAACTCTGGATACATTTATTAACATTCCGATCACTTTTATTAACATAATATACGGAATGAACCTCACATGATTTAATGAAACTAAGGCAGTATGATTCAGTAATGGTGGGATTAGGGTTATATTCTGTTTCCAGGGTAGCCCAACGTAATTCGTAACCTTT